TAGCAGAAGTAGTAGTAGTAGTAGTTAGTAGTAGTACTAGTAGTAGAAGTAGAAGTAGAAGTAGAAGTAGTACTAGTAGGAGCAGTAGTAGTAGTAGTAGTAGTAGTAGTAGTAGTAGTAGTAGTGGTAGTGGTAGTGGTAGTGGTAGTGGTAGTGGTAGTGGTAGTGGTAGCAGGAGCAGGAGCAGGAGCACTAGCAGCACAGCACTGCCGGGTCTTGACGATCCACGAGTTTCCAGAAACTCAGTCTAGCATCCGGAGACAACACCAACACCAACACAGAAAAGGACTCATCTACCAGGCCGCATCCATGGGGACAAGTCGCACATGCCAACGAGACAGCATTTGTTTAATCATCCGTTTGACAGCCAAAACTTTGGTCAAGGCTTCGCCGGCAAGGTCGACTAAGACGTCTGTCACCATACGGTCTGTGACAAAATGTAAAAAACCGTTCAGGACCGGCAGGACAAGGAGCTCAAGACACTTCAACGGCCGTGTTGGTCAAACCACACCGTCGTTACTATTGTTTTTCCTGCCATGGGCGGCTAGATTCGGTGTCTAGAGCGGCCCGAACAGTGTCAAAGCAAAGGTGCATCGTTGCCACAGTCAAACAAGGCGGTGACCCGATTAAGTCCGCTGACTTTGGGTTTAGGGCTTGGAGTCTTGTTCTAGTCAGTCTTGCTTGACCCTGGCTTTCAGGCATTTGCGTTTCACCGTCGGCTCACTAGACAACCTGCTCCATCGTAACCACATCGAAGTACTCGAATGCTTCATCGAAAAGTGCTCGTCGATGACGCACCAGCGAGACCGATCCCGCCAGGACTGTGGCAATCAGCCCGGCGAGGCTTTCGTTCCGACTCCCTTGCTGCCGCGCGAACACCATGGCCAGAAGGATCAATCGCGGGATGTCGCTGAAGAGCCGCACGTCGCGCTTGTACAGTTCGAACAAGTACAGTGTCTCCAAATCGAAGGGCAAGGGGATGTCCTCGTTGCAAACGACCTGCATCAGGCCCAGGAAGTGCCTGCCGTTGACCACGAAGGTGCCCGCCAGGAGTCCCAAGGGAACCCAGAGCCACACAATCCCACAGCAACAGCTCGAACAGCAGGCAGGTAAAGCGCAGATGGAGCACTTCCGATCGAAGAGATATGCCTGGTACCTGCAGGCGTAGATGAAACCTGGAAGCCAGAGCGTGGCTGCCAGCCAGGCCCTAAACCAAGGGCTCCCCGCAACCAGTTCCATAATGGCGACGATGGCAGACATCAGCAGCGCGATGCAGTCCAAGACCCAATAGGCCGTGAGCTTTCCGACAAGCCAAACGAGCCCGTTGCCGTTTTGCACGCTGCACCTCTGGAACCCCGACTCTCGAAAAGCCACGAGACGGGGGTACGTCTGCTCACCTGAGGGTGGCAGCATCGCCTCTGTCCGGATGCTCACGCTGAGGTGCTCGAGCAAAAGCTCCTGCATGGCGCGGCGCGGCAGTATGGCAATCAACGTCATGGAGGACACTTCGAGGTCGGTTTCATCCGCGACTTGAGTCGAATTCACGAGCTCGGCGATGTCAGACCTGACGACGACCTTGTGCTTGTAAGACAGAGACAGGGAGTGCTGCTCCCAGATTTCCCCGGGTGCGAACTCCACTTCAAGCCTGCAATCCCCAAACGTCGGCCCCTGAAGCCGCACTGCAGTCACCCATCCCGGCCGCATCTCCAAGCGTCGGGTACCTATTCTACCTGTATACTCGTCTGCGATGGCATGCAGCTCGAGAAGATCATCGTCTTGCCTCGGGAGCACGGAAATGTCCTGGCTGAGTTGCAGCTTGTCGGTGCCGTTCATCAGGGACACCCTTCCAGCAGAGACTTTCATGGCTGAGCCAACCAGTGCTGCCAGCCTCTGCATGCTTGGCACTGCCGGTGGCCGGATCGCCAACTCGATGAGGCACTGGCCGCTCATGTTGAAGACGCGCAAGGTGAAAGGCTGAGAGGCGCCAAGAAGCTGTGCTGACTTCGAAGCAGGCTGGTTCAGGTCCAGCTCGATCCCTGTTGAATCGACCAGGCATCCGGAAGCCTCAGGTGGCAGGCTCCTTACAGTATGGAGCCCCAAGCTTTCCTCCTTGAGTCTCTTCCACTCACGTCGCTCTAGAGCCTCGAGCTCCACCATGGCATTGGCTGGGGGCGTCTGGTGTTGACAGCGGAACCACAGAAGCCTGTAGAAAAACGGCATTAAACAGTGTTCTACCGGCCAGTCACCTGTACGAACAGCATGCTTGGCATGGCACCGAGTATACTTGGGACAATGCTAGCAAACAAGCAGCTGTCAACTTGTCGGCGACTGTGGGTTAGGCTGGACCGGTATGGGCGCAGTGCATGACTGCTTCCTCGCTGAGCCAGGGCCTTTAGCCGTAGCCATTTAGTAGTAGTAGTAGTAGTAG